AGCATAGAAGAAGCAGCACTAAATTTGTCTGGGTGAATCAGAGAAGGCTAACCAGGAGAAATAGTTTCTGAATAACGCTTCAAGGAGGTGTAGCAGTTTATCATTGATAGCTATGTTGGTATGGGGCTGGTCTGGGGAGTGGGAAGGAAATTGGCTTTGGCTAGGCTGAGGCTGAGTGTGGATAAAGCATTAGATTATGTGGGTCCATATAGGCAGCATAAAGGATGTGTATGCAGAGGCACTGGGGGCTCGATGATTTGGAAATAGTCTAGTTTACCAGAAAGCAGGCTGAGAACTCAATAAGCACTTTCCTACTCATTCCCACTGTTTATCCCACAGTTTCACACACATGTCCAAATTTCAACATTGGTGTCTGCTTCACTTGCACATCTAAGGTAATGCTGGGCACATCTATAGCAATGTAGATTCTTCCTAAGCCAATAATTAATTTCAGGAAGTAGTACACACATTTAAAAACAAGTTAAAGTGTTGTTTTAATTGGTAGGTGGATCTGTTGGCACCAATGATTATTCATGGCATCAAGACCCAGGGTGCCCGTCAGAAGTTCTCCAGCCTCTACATCTCTCAGTTTATCATCATGTATAGTCTTGATGGGAAGAAGTGGCAGACTTATCGAGGAAATTCCACTGGGACCTTAATGGTATGTAATTAGTCCTTTCATCAGATTGCATGAATTCTTCTTTAAAGAGCTCTTGACAGATTTCAGATACTGGACAAACACTCCTAGCTTCTTCAAACTTAATTCCAAAAAAGAATTTTTCGCCTTTGGGCAATAGGGGTGATTGTGCAAACATAAACAAAAATGTAGTAGTGTCAAGGTTCTCATAGATAATAGAAATGAAAAGATGCTCTATTGATAGAAATATGTGATTCAGGACTGAGTGCATTGATAAGATTGTGAGTTTGCTTATGGATATCCTAGCTTTGAGGTGATGGTAGGGCAATCAGGTTGAAATGTCCAGTGGGGAGAAGGTGAAATACTTGAGTTTAGGGGGTAAAACCATGAATGGAGATAAAAATGTGTGTCTTCCACACGAAAGGATGGGTGAAACCTTGAGAATCGATGAATTTTTAAGGATGGGTTCAAGACCTTTATTTAAACAGGTTTAAAACCTTAGCATTTTTGTCTACTCTTCCCTCATTTTTATGCCCCCTGATGAATTGATCCATGAATCTGGTCAATTCTCCCTTTGCCTCTCACATCACTTCCTTGTTTCCACTTATACTGCTCTTACCAAGGCCCCATCACCTCACACTTGATCTATTATGTTACACTTCTAACTAGTCTTCCCTTGTTTCTAGTCTCCAATAAAAGCTGCACATCATTTTCAGGATAATCATCTTATCAATCCCCTGCCTAAAACCTCTCAATGTCTTCTTGTTGTCTTCAGAATAAAGTTCAAAGTCCACAAATGGCCCTGCACAAGATAACTTTTGTTTGCCCCTTTACATCCATTTTCCTGCTTCTCTGCCCTGCTTCTTGTTCTGTGATGCAAGCCTGTATAGAATATATCAACAGGCTACCTTGTCCTCTAGCTTTCAGTTGGGTTTTACCAACAGGGAGCACTGGCAAAAGATTAAAGGAGAGTAAGATCGGCACATTTATTATCCTGACTTCCTCCTTGTGACTGTATCTGTCCACTGAAGGTCATTGCTCCCCTCAGAGTGGTTTTCTCTACCTGTACCAGTTACTATTGCTGTGCACCAAACCACTCCAAAATTTCGTGTCATAAGAACAAACATTTTGTTTTGTTCATGGATTCTGTAGGTCAGCACTCTGGACAGGGCACAGTGGGGATGGGCAGTGTCTGCTCCACATCTGGGGCTTCAGCCAAGAATATTTAACAGCTTGGTACTGGAATCATGTGGAAGTGTCTTCATTTGCATTTCTGGTGACTGGTACTGGCTTTCAGCTAGGACAGAATCTGCAGTTGTTGACTGAAGTAACTTTACATGGCTTTTCCCTGTGGCCTGGGCTTTCTCACAGCGTGTCGGTATCAAGGTAGTCGGACTTCTTACATGTCATCTTAGGGCCTCCAAGTTAAGTTTTCCAGTTAACAAGGTGGAGACTACATCAGCTTTTCTGACCTAGTCTTTTAAGTTATGCAGCATCATTTTCAATACATCCTGTGGGTTATAATCAAATCACACATCCACTCAGATTCAAGGGGAAGGGAAATAGACCCTAATTCTCAACAGGAGGAATGTCAAAGAATTTGTGGTCATTCTTTAAGCCACTAAAACAATCTACCCAATTCTCTCCTTATCCTTTCGGGTCTAGAGATGGTAATACCCTGTCCCCCACCTTCCTAGCTAGTACCTTTATTAAATCTTCCTCAAATGATCCTCATTTGTGTGTTCCATGTTCTTTGTTGGAACCCTATTTCATACAGTAATTGGTGCTGACAGTACCTACTAAACAGGAAATAGCAATCACCCTAAATGTTTTTGTCATTGAGATACACACATACATACAAACACACACACCCACCCACACAAATCAATAAGCCTATCTCGTTCCTGATTTTAATGGGAATGTATCCCATGTTTACTATTTAATATATTGTTCAGATAGTTTCAAACAAATACTTTAAAATCATGTTTAAAAAGTTTCCTTCTATTCCTACTTTATTTGGAATGGCAGCTGAATTTTGTCAAATGTTTTTCTGGCATCTTTGACATGATCACATTTCCTCTCTTTCCTGTTGTCACGTTACACTTAACATTCAATAAACAACCAACTCAGGGGCAAAGTGACGGCAGGTTAGGGAGAAAAGGCCTTGGTTTGTAGAATTTGCTGATTTCCATGATATAAATACTACTCCCATCATGCCCAACTTCAAGCCACAGATGTGATGTCATTAAATGCAGAGTTGGGAAGAGATGTACACAACTGGCTTTCACAAAACAGGGCAAGAGGGCTTCAGTACACAACTCTGCTACATTTCTAGGAAAACTTTCCTTGGTCATACTGTATAATCATTTAAAACTTAGCTGGATCCAACTTGCCAACATTTTATTTTTAGAACTTCTCTATATTCATGAATAAAATAGGTTTACCTTTGCCAGGGGCTCTACTTATCAGGTTTTGGCATGAGAGTTACATTAAACTTGAAAAAAAATTGGAAAAGCTTCCATTTTTTTCCATGAAACTATTGCTCTAGAATAGTTTAATTAATGTAGTCATTTTGTGTTTAATCAACAGTAGATGAAAAAGCCATTTGAGCACTGTACCTTATTTAGAGGCAGATACTTGACTGCCTTTTCCAATCCTTTTATGATTATTGGTATTCTCATTTGTGTTACCTTGAGTAAACTGCTGTAAATGTGTAGAGTCTTACCTCCCTTCCCATGCCACATATCTGTGTCTATCTATACACACATACATGTCTTTCTGCCTCTTTATCAGAGTTGGCAAGTGGTTGTCTATTCTATTGGTTTCTCAAAGAATCAACTCTTGGTTTTAAAATCGAACATGGTTTTGAAAGAGCTGCTTCTAATTCATTAATTTCTGTTCAAACCTATAAAAATTCTCCTTTACTTTCTTTTGGTGTGTTTGTTTGTTTCCTGGAATCTGGAGTTCAATGCCTAGTTCACTTATTTTCGAACTTTGTTTTTCAGTGATAAGGATAACTTACTTATCATTTATTAAACACTCTCATGAGGTTTATTCCTTTAGCAAAGTCATTGAGTTCTGATACAGCAATGGCCAAACCATAGCCCACAAATTTGGCCTACAGTCTGCTTTTGTGTGGACTGTGAGTTACGAATGGTTGTTACATGTTTAAAGGATTGCAAAAACAAAGGAAGAGTATGTGACAGAGACCACCTGTGGCCTGTAAAGACTAACATATTTCTATCTCTCTGGCCCTTTACAGAAAAAGCTTATGGACTAGACTGCTGGTCTACTTTAATGGCAGTAGAGATGCCTAGATAATTAACATTAATCCTTAGTACCAGAAACCTTTGGATCCCAGAGCTTGCCTAAATTTACTAATTTCAGTCTTGATCATCTTCTTCCAATGTCGTGGTTCTTGAATGTCTTTGTACCATCCCCATATAAAATATTCTTTCATAAGAAATATTTCTCATTATAGGAACACCTCATAATGGAGAGAAGGGGAACCCCAACACCCTTCAAGGATCACTGCCACCATGTTCAACAGTTTAAAATATTTTGAATGTGAATTTGGAATTGTCCATGAACATTTAAATGATAAGGACCTTTCCCCCTCTGTTTTCAAGTTAAAAAGAAAGCTAATCATGTCCTTTAAAAATATTTGTCTTTGATATATTAGAAATCAATGTTAATGTTGGTATTAGAGGGATATAAGAGAACAAGAGAACTCTGTCAGAAATGCTGAAATCTGGCCTTGGCCCGGTTATGCCTGCTGTTAAGTTTCTGTGTGAGATACATAAATGAGCCAATGGCAAATGGAAAACAAGGAGTTTTAGTGTTTCCTAGAATTATGCCTATATACCCAATACCTGACTCTCTGGTTATCCCTCCCCTCACCTCCCTGACACAGAGGCCTAAGGAGGCTTCTCCTTAAGCCCAAACCCAACAAATTATCATGAGTCATGCTCCGTAACACCTCGACATTATTTTGCCATAAGAGAATAAGGCAGCTGGCCGGGCCCGCAGCCCAGGTTGAGAGGACTATATCAGGAAAGGAAAAAAAAAAAAGCCAAAGACTAAAGGAGCATGTGTCCTTACCACTTTTGCAATAAGTTGGGCTAGGCTTTTAGGGCTCCGTAGGACCCTTCCTGGCAGCCGAGTGGGAGCAGATGAATGGTGGCTGGATCTGTCTCAAATGGGCTGCTCCTGTATGTCCCATCACTTCCACCTCGTCGAAGTAGAACTAGAAGCAGAAAAGAATACCCTAAAAGTCCCACCCATTTCGAGGCACTTAACTCACAGTGACGACCCTACACACCTCTCCCCCACCCTCCAAACAACAGGAACAAAAACACAAGACAAAAAAAATCACCTCCCCCATCCCCAACTTTGTCCTCAGTAGCCCCAAAGATTAGTTATTGCATACAATTTCAGTCTAAAGGATGCACTTTACCAAAGTTGAATGTTTGAGAAAGAGGTTATACTCTGAAGAGTTCGTATGATCACTGTCACAAGTGTAAAAATAACTCAATCGATAAGAAAACACCTAAGTTGGTTTGCATGTAACATTTGGACCAAAAAGCCTTCGAAACTTAGTGTTTTAAAATAGAACCTCCTGCTGCTGGGGAATGAGGAGGACACTGCCTTGCATTCACATGATCACACAATACCAAAGAGCCATGCTCTGATTTAAATATTTGAGTTAAATAAAAGTTGCAACGTAGATTCCAGATACCTCCTGGAATAGAGCCAGAACTGTAAATTCCAATGCAAATAGATACACTAGCACTGGAACTGATGCACTGGACACACTTGCATTGCAGGGATCTGAGTAAGGACTGCCTCACAGATGGCCGCTGTAGACTCACTGCTCCCCCATAGCCCACATACTAGGCCTACTGTAAATTTCAAATGAATGACTACATCCTGGAGCTATAAAATGACTCCCATGCGTCGGTATAGTGCGGGTGAGTCAAGGGAGAGATCTGGTGATCACAAAGACACAGAGATACTAGTGTCTAAGCAATGAGTGTCACAATGAAATCACATAGTTCAGGAATTTAGACGGAGCAGTGCAAAATGAAATCGTAACTATGTAACAAAGATGGGGGTGGGAGGCGGCACTGGGTGGGAGAAGAGGAGGAAGGAGATTAAAGGGATTCTCATTTTTACGTTACAGTTTTTTGGAAGAGAGCCATGTCCTCTACTCTGATTCTATCGAAATGTGCTTTTCTCCCACTATTATGGAAATAAGCGTTTGGGATACAGGTAACTTTCAGTCAACTACATTCCCACGGTGGCAACAGGGGTAACATAAAACGTAGAACCAGGAACGATGTATCTTCTTTCTCCCGAAATGCAAAGGTGGATGTGTGAGGTTTGATAGCAGGCACGAAGTCATTTGGTTACTGTGATTTATCATCAGATCCCCTGTCCCGAGGGGGAGATGGCTTCTTGCAGAACGAGGTGAAGGAGGTGGTTCTGCTCAGCAGTCAACAGTGGCCACATGTCCACCTGCAGCGACTTGATGGCTTCCGTGTCCTTTTCGTGGGTAGCCATGACCAGGGACTGGAGCAGTAGAAAGAGCTCCTCGGGAAGCTGCCCACTGCTTTCCTGCCCGTGGCTGTCAAAAGCCTCCCAGGAGTACTTCTCCAGGGTCTGGGCATGCTCCGGCAGCAGCTTGGCGGGCGGTGGTTGCAGGAGCAGCAGCAGTAGCACGCGAGACACCTCGCAGCGGACCAGGACGTCTGAGAAGGCGCCCAGGGCTGCGGGAGAAGGAGCCGTAGAGCCGTCGTTCGGAGGAAGCAGCGCGGCCGGCAAGGCGGGTGTCGCGCCGGGTCCGGGCTGGGGCCCCGGTGGTGGCGGCGGCTGCACGGGATGGCCGCCGTGATCCCGCGCCAGGCGCTGCATGCGCGTGAAGACCGCCAAGGCGCTGTTGTAGTCGCGCGCCAGCAGCTGGCAGGAGGCGGACTCACCGAGCGCATGCAGCGCGGCTAGCGGCAGCTGGGGCAGCTGGAGCTGGGCGGCGCGCTGGAAGTGGCCAGCAGCGGCGGCCGGCTGACCCAGGTCGCGCAGGGCGGCGGCCAGCTCGAGGCAGAGGGCAGCGGCGGCGGCCGGCTGGCCCAGCTCGAGGTGCAGGCGCACAGCGGCGCCCAGGGCGCTGGCGGCGGCCTGCAGCGGCTCCCCGTAGGCGGCGGGGCAGACCAGGCGCTGGCGCGCGTCGCGCTCCTGCCGCAGGAAGAGGCGCGCGGCCTCGGTAAGGGCCAGCGCCTCCCCGGGCCCGTGGAAAAGCGCCTGCTGGCAGCGCGCCACCGCCAGCTGGCACCAGGCCGCGTATGGCAGGTACTCCTGGGCGCGCAGCTCGCGGCCCAGCTGCCCGAACTGCTCGCCGGCCTCCGCCACGTTCGGCTTCCGCAGGAACCGCTTCTTCAGCTTGTTCGACACCAGCCGGTACCGGGCCAGGAAGTCCCCGGCCTCGGGACCAGGGCCCGCGCCGCCGCCCAGGCCGGCCGCGGCCGCCGCCATGTAAGCCATCCCAAGCGCCTCCGGGCGCGCTGACGTGACTGCGCCACCGGTCGGGGGCCGCGACGTGCCCTGCGTCTCCTTGGGGCTGGCAGACGCAACCGCGCCGGCTCGAGAGTCCTCGCCCGCCCCGTTGCCCTGGTGATATGCAAAGAGCGGGATCGGAGGCGGGGCCTGGCCCGTCTGCGAGCGGCGTATGCAAATCAAGGGTCTTGGGGCGGAGCCTGGCCAGATGCCTGCTCCGTATGCAAATCAAATCCAGGGTCCTGTACAGGCAGGCGGGGCCGTGCCTGGCGCCAGATGTTGCCAGGTTACGGCTTGTCTCTCTTGGTTGCTAAGTGCGTCCCATAGCATCTCCATTTGGACACGACCAAAGCTACACTCGTGACCCTGCGTGACCCTCATTCCGTGTTTGTGTATTTCTGAGCTGTTTCCCTCATCACTCCTCTTTCTTCCCGCCCAAAGTCCCTGCCCCATTGGAGCCCATGCCGACCTCTTCGTCCACCTCTGCACCCCAACCCTGGCTGCCCTTAGACCACACCGCAATCATGGTTTTGAACTGCACCCCAGCGAACCCCATGACTCCGGGGAATTCACCAGGCAGGCCCTGACTTGCTCAGAGCTGATGGGGAAGGCTTCTGTGCCCCCACCCCAGCCAGCCCTTCCCACCCAGGGCCACCCCCTGCACTGTCACAGGGAGAGACTGCTCCTCTGTGCCATCCCTGACTCCCACCCCACCCAGAGACTCCCACCGCCTGCCTTTCCCTGTCTCCGGCTATGAATGTCCCTGCTCCAGTGTGCCATCCCTGACTACCACCCACCCCACCCCACCCCGAGACCCCCACCGCCTGCCCTTCCCTCCCTCCTGCTATGGATGTCTCATAACCCCCTCCGACGGAAAGTGACTCAAGCAGGCCCGTGGGTTTCTTTAAACACTTTATTGACAGAACTCGCTGAAGGCCCAGGGCCGGCGGGGTTGCCCTGGGTGGCCAGAGAGAGGGGCGAGTTTGGCTCCAGGTGGACGAGCAGACGGGTGGAGGGAAGGACAGCTGAGGCCCGGGAGCCAGCTGTCATAAGCTACTCCTGCGTCGGGGCAACCTGGGAGATCGTCGTGTGCAGAGAGTTAGCTACGCTTCCAGCAAAAAATCGGGTCCCTTAGGTAGGGGTCGTCGCAAAGGATAAGAAAACAATAGAAAATGGAAAATAACAGAAATAAAAGAATACACAGAGACGAAGGTATAGTTTTATAGATTTATAAAGGTAATAGACAAAAGAGGGATACTCAGGGGACCTCGTGATTTCTCCGTTAATCACAAGGGCCACGAGTGAAGTTTTACATGGGTATTTATAGGTACAGTGATTGGTTGCCAGGGGTAACAGATTTACATGATAATAGGTAGTTCGTCTTAGGTTAAAAGTTTTTCAAAAGGCTTCTTCAGATCCCTTAACTAACTCTATCTACGTGAACGAATGGTTACAAAATTTTCATAGGCTAACTTCTAAGTTCTAAGGTAAATTTATCACTTAACAGAAGGGTTAAACAGAGATATAGTGGCTCCATATTTTATCAAGTTATTGTGTACTGAGACAGGTAGTCTGGAGTTTAAGCAGGAACTGTCCCTTGGGCTAATTGCTTTCAGCCACTGGTGTCAGTCTGTCGGGGCATTCTTTGATCAGCTCTCATCCTGTGGCTCCTGGCAGACCTGCTTTGCCTTTCAAAGCAAGTCAGGACTACAGGTCTGAGAATTGTTGCGCCATATTGGGATGCAGCCGCCACTGACCTTTCAGATGCCCTCCTGAGGTGAAGCAGCTTTCGATATGCAAACTAACACGTTCACATATTCCTTCAGGGCAAAGCCCTGAAAAACTGCTGGCACCACCTCTGTCTCTAATACAATCATATTAATCTATGGAGCGACAGTCGAAGAAGCTGCTGAGCAGCGCGTTGTTGTGGACGGCTATGTCCACCTGCTCTGGGGTGATGCACCTCCTGCCGCTGTTCTGGGCCTCGTTCCTTGCCAGCTCCAGGACCTTGGCCGTCAGGTACTGGACTATGGCAGCTAGGAAAACTAGTGCAGAGGAGCTCAGCCGCTGGGCGTAGTGGCCCTCCCGCAGAAGGCGCTCCATGTGGCTCACTGAGAACGCCAGCTCGGCTCTGGCTATGCGAGAGCGGGTCTGGCTCTGACGACAGGACGACCCTCGGCGGCTCTGCATGCCCGGCATGCTGGACCTTGCGTGCGATATCTCCGCCCGGCCTAGCTCAGTGCAATGCCTCTCAAGATGCTGATCCTCGGTCCAGTACTCTGTATCCTAACGACCACGGACCAGTCCCTCATTGGTCGGGGTGCCGGCTGCGCGACACGCACTCCCGGTGGCACCATTGCCTCCCAGGTGGCCCGCGGGCAGCAGGCCTGGGCTTAGAAATGGCAGGCCGTGGGGTGGGAGGGTGCTGCTCACCCTCGCCCCTGGACCCTCTCCTTGTAGGAACTCCCGCTTCCTACTGGATGGGAACATGGTGCGAAAGATGGAGGGGTGGGGAAGGGTGGGTACGACTCAGTGCCATTAAGTACATTCACAATGTTGTGCAGCCATCACGACCATCTAGTTGCAAAACATTTTCACCACCCCCAGAAGAATCCCCTGTACCCATTAAGCAGTCACTCCCCATACCCCGCACCACCTCCCACGTACACACGCACCCATACGCATGACACCGCCACCCCCACCCCCACCACCCCTACACTCCCCATAGTCCCTGGCAATTGATAATCTGCTTTCTGTCTGTGGAGGTTTGCATATTCTGGAGATTTTCTATAGTTGGAGTCTTTGTGTTGCTATAAATGGAAACCCGAGACTGAACAATTTACATAGAAAAGAGATATTAGGTTGGTGCAAAAGTAATTGCAGTTTTGGACAGTGAATTTTAAATCATTATAATTAGGCTCAAATACATCTTTATTAATCAAAATAGGAACCATTACAATCAACACATTTTTGCCAATAATAAATAAGTTTGTTTATTCCTGTAGCATAAAAATCCATGCTTTGGGATTCAACGAACTCTTGGAAAGCATTTTCTGCATCCTCCTGTTGTGGAAGCGTTTTCCCTGCAAGAAGTTGTCAGGATGCTTGAAGAAATGGTAGTCCATTGGCGAGAGGTCAGGTGAATGTGGCAGATGAGGCAAAACTTCATGGCCCAATTCATTCAACTTTTGAAGCATTGGTTGTGTGATGTGCAGTTGGGCGTTGTTGTGGAGAAGAATTGGGCCCTTTCTGTTGACCAATGCCAGCTGCAGGTGTTTCGGTGCATCTCATGGATCTGCTAAGCATACTTCTCAGATGGAATGGTTTTGCCAGGATTCAGAAAGCTATAGTGGATCAGACTGGCAGCAGACCACCAAACAGTGACCATGACCTTGTTGTGATGTAAGTTTGGCTTTGGGAAGTGCTTTAAAGATTCCTCTCAGTACAGCCACTGAGCTGGTTGTCACCAGTTGTTATATAAAATACAATTTTTGTCACATGTCACAATCCAATTGAGAACTGATTCATTGCTGTTGCATACAAGAAGAGAGGACAACAGTTCAAAATGACAATTTTTTTTGATTTTCGGTCAACTCATGAGGCACCCACTTATTGAGCTTTCTCACCTTTCTAATTTGCTTCAAATGCTGAATGACCATAGAATGGTCGACACTGAGTTCTTGGGCAACTTCTTGTGTAGTTGTAAGAGGATCAACTTCAATGGTTGCTCTCAATTGGTCGCTGTCAACTTCCAATGGCTGGCCATTGCGCTCCTCATCTTCAAGGCTTTTGTCTTTTTTGCAAAACTTCTTGAACCACCACTGCACTATACATTCATTAGCAGTTCCTGAACCAAATGCATTGTTGATGTTGCGAGTTGTCTCCTCTGCTTTACAACCCATTTTGAACTTGAATAAGAAAATTGCTCAAATTTACTTTTTGTCTAACATCATTTCCATGGTCTAAAATCAATATAAAATAAACAGCAAGTAATAAGTTATTAGCAAAAATACATAAAGTGAGAAACGTGCATTGAAATGATGTATGACATAACCATATTTATTTAAGAATGTATTCCAATATCAAACGGCTAATTTCAACAATGCTAAAACCACAATACTTTTGCACCAACTAATATATTTGACTCACAGTTCTTCAGGCTGTACAAGAAGCATGGCACCAGCACCTGCATCTAGTGAAAGCCTCAGACCACTTCCACTCACAACAGAAGTGGAAGGGAAATTGGCAAGTGCAGAGATCACATGGTGAGAGAGGAAGCAAAAGAGTGAGGAGGTTCCAGGCTCCACTCAACAATCAGCTCTCATGGAAACTAATAGAGCAAGAACTCACTCATTACTGCAAGGAGAGCACCAAGCCTTTCATGAGGAATCCACCTAAATAAATGACCCAGACACCTCCCATTAGACCCTGCCTCCAACATTGGAGATCAAATTCCAGCATGAGTTTTTGTAAGGCCAAACAAACCATATCCAAACCATAGCATTCTGCCTCTGGTCTCCCAAATCTCATGTCCTTCTCACATACAAAATACAATCATCCCTTCCCAATAGTCCCCCGAAGTCTTAACTTGTTCCAGCACTGACTTCAAAGTCTAAAGTCCAAAGTCTCATCTGAGACTCAAGACAAGTTCCTTCCAGCTGTGAGCCTATAATCAAAACCAAGTTATTTACTTCCAAGTTATAATGGTGTAACAGACATTGGTAAACATTCTCATTCCAAAAGGGATGGCCTAAAGAAAGCGTTAACAGGCCCCATGCAAGTGTGAAATCCAGCAGGGCAAACACTAAACCTTAAAGCTCCGAAATAATCTTTGACTCCATGTCTTGCATCCAGGGCACACTGGTTTGAAGGGTGGACTCCCAAGATCTTGGGCAGCCTCATCCCCATGGCTTTGCTGGGCAAAACCCACATGACTGCTCTCATGAGTTGGCATCCAATGCCTATGGCTTTTCCAGGGTGAGATTGCA